GTGAAAACAGCGTTTTTTTTATTTTTCGTGATGAACCCCCTGCCGGTTCTCCCAAAAAAAAAAAAAAAAAAAAATATATATATATATATATATATATATATATATTGGATATTTCATATTTAATTCACAGCCTTTTCTACCTTGCCAGATCTCAGTTACGCCTTGAGGAAAAGTAGGCCAACAGTCGACACACGAATATTTAGTTTTCCAATCTATTAATATTGATTGACTGATCTTTTTCCAGATTTCCACCAGTGAGTGAGGAGGCTGCTGTTGGAACCCCGGTGGGAATCATCATGGCAGCAGCTGTCAATCAAACTATCGTGTACTCCATCGTTGAAGGCAATGAGGGAGGTGAGTGCATTCAGAGTTTTCCTATCAGGGCCTCACCGCCACTCCGTCTTTTGGCATTAAAGCTTCTTCCTGGTCAAACATCTCTTACAGCTCAGACCGCCCTGCACAACTTCCTCTGCACTGTGCGCTACAAGACTCCTCACTCATTCCCTCTGTGCAATAGCACTTTTTTACTACCTTGTTTTAAAACTTTTTGTTGCTCTGTTCTCCCCAGGTGTGTTTTCGTTAAACAAAACAACTGGTGAGATTTCCACAGCCAAGCCCCTTGACTATGAAACCAACTCCAGCTATGTTCTGAAGGTGGAAGCAGACTCCATGAGGGTGGTCTCATCAAATCTCCGAGCTCCGTCAAAGTGTAAGTGGAACTGCAGGTTGAAGTGCTGCACACTTGTAATCGTGAATTAAACGACAAGTATATATATATATATATATATATATATATATATATATATATATTTGTCTTTGTATTTTGTGTCAGAGATTTTAGCAAGCTTTTATGACAAGCATATGGAGGGATACCCAAGACATAAGACCCAAATCAGACAGATTAAAAAGCAACACTATACCAAATACAAAGAAAATGTATTTAGAATTTGAACATTTTAAAAATGAAATGCAAAAAAAAAAAAAAAGTATATTCTCATATCTAATACACCAGAAAAAAACATATTAAGATCAAATGTAAAACATTAACAGATTAGATCTGTCACTCTGTCAATAAGGTCAGTGACTGGTGGGGTTTAGGTAACACAGAGCAGGAGTGTATGCCAGATTATGACTCTCAAAATGGTCTGTAAAAGAATAATAAAAAAAAAAACTTTTCCCCTAATCCACAGTCTTATTACTGTTTTTTTTCTTTTGTTTTCTGATGACAAGAAGTCTCATGTGTGACAAGTCTGACTTCTATCCAATAATTTATCCAGTAAATCAACCTGTATGCAATAGAGAATAATCATAGAGCCAGATTCACATCCAATTAAATACAGTCTGACTGAGACCTTCTGTCAATGCAGAACTGTTGATCATGTGTTATCAGTTTCTGCCTAAGAAAGGTCATTGACTTTATAACTTTCCTTTCTCGGCAAGTATTTGGCAACGTCTTTTATAGATGAGCTGCTTGTTGGTTTTTATGGGTTTTTTTCTGTAAAGCTTGTCTTCTCCTCCTGCTGCGAACTTTGTGTCATGGCATTTGTACACCAGCATTTTAGTTTTAACTTGTAAAGATGTCTGAAGCAACCCAAAGCTCTGTGTGGATTGTTGGGCTGTTTGGACATTGATGATTATATCTGCTAAGGCTTTACTTTCTTCTGTTCGGCTCAACATCAAACTTGTTGTGGTCTCACATACCCCTTAATTTGCATTTAAAAGAAAAAGAAAAAAAAACACGTCCTTTCATTTATAAGTAGAGCTGAAGTAAAAATGGATCTAATTAGTCTAAATTCTTTCTCCTCTCTCTTTTTTTCTACTGGTCTCCTCTTTTATGTCCTTTTTCTCTTTTTTTTTTTTTTTTTTTTACTTCTTTTCACTTCATATCTGTGTTCTTCTTAATTGAAGCTCAGCTCCGGAGCCTTTGCTTATCTTCTTTAATTATGGTGTTTACCACATGCTGCTCTCATTTCATTAAAGCGATTTGAATTCAAGAATTCTGCTGGGATTAAAGCAGCAAATCATTGTGTCATTTGCAGATCTCCAGTTCTTTCCCGCACACATCAAACAAACAAAAAATCGATCGGACTCTAAGTTAATACAGTTTTCTTCTTCACATGAAGGTTTCAGCGTTGCATCTGGAGGATGTTGCAGATTTGTGTGCTTGTTTCTTCATTTTAGTGTTTGTGTTGTGATTTTTTTTTTTTGAATTGCCCATTTCAAAATGGATTTTTGATTTTATTCTTTCTTTTTTTTAGTTGCTGTTTGGGTGGATTAAAAGGCAAAATTTCTGAGTTCCAAAGCAAGTAATCTCAAGTTTCATCACTGATTCATTAGCTAATGTTTTTTTTCTTGAAACGAATTTGGAAGAACCACAATTACATGTAAATAATTTTGTGGTTAATAAATAATGTTTTCCTTGTATAAAAATCCTCTAACATATTGATTGAGGCAATAATTTACGAAGTTTGGTGCAGAGAAATAATAACATCTGAAGGATTGACAGAATTCAGTATGAGTAAAGCATTTTTCTCAGATGTCTATGGCATCACATACCTGCCAAAAACCCTGAGGAGCGTATTAAACAATCACAGTAGCGCATATATCAATCAAGAGAGCACACAGCTCTGATTGCGGCCACACTTATTCAGAAGCCCATGAACCCAGAATGCCAAGCGGTAAAACAGGCTCCTGCTACCCAGCTGTACACTCTTGCCAGAAAATTGCGCTCTCTCTCTTTGTGTTTAGTGGGCATATTTGTCAGTTGGGAGCGGTGACTCTTATAAGTAATCTGATTAGCTGGATTTTCAGCTGAAAGTCCTGTGACAGCCTGCACAGAACTTGGTCTACTAGGAGAAGCAGAAGAAAATGCGGAGGATGAATAAAAAGGTAAGGAAAAGAAAAATACTTGCTTTTCCTTACCGTCTTCATCATCAGAATCATCATCATCATCCTCCACCTCTTCTTCTTCTTTGGTTTGAATTTACATCATGCCATCCACTCTTCTCCTGTTAGGTCCCTTACTGACATCAATAATGTGACTACTTAATTCTTAATTAGTTTTTGGCGGGAATGTGATGCCATACACGACTCATCACCATGGCATTAACATGTTTACACCTCTTTGTGTTTCTTACAGCAACCTTGCTAATTGTGAAAATTCATGGTAAACCTTGAAAGACTTTAGATTTGAACAAGCTTTTAAAGTTGAGTTTTGAACTGAAAACTGAATTGGAAAGTACTTGAGAATTAATGAATTAATATTTCACCAACAGGTCTTTTCAATGCAGATTAAGAGAACATACAGAAGGACCTTATATTATTGGATAATGTATTGACTCCTTCATTCGAACATGGTTTTAGTGTTGAGGAAGTGTGAAAAGCGTTAGGTTTCTAATGGATTTTCTGTTACTAATTACTGAAATGTTAATCCTTTCATGTTCCTTGAAGATCTTCTTGCATAAAAGCACAACGTTTAATGTGTTTTCTTGAAATTTTAAGTAATAGATCTACACAGCAAAGTGTATAACTGTAAATTGAAATGAAATGTATTTAGAAAATAAAACATTTTCTCTCTGAAATTGTAGCTACACGTCTTTTGGGGTGTGTTATCTAGTGACTGGAGTTTTTGCCGGTTCTATTGTAGAAAATTACACAACCTCTTTCAGATTGGATGTAGGGTGTCTGTAAACCTCAATGCTTAAATCCGACCACAGATTTGTAATCTACTTTGTATCTGTACTTGGGCAATTCTAACACGTGAACGTGCTTTGATCTTAAACATTTGACCGTAGTAGCTTCGACTTCGTTCACTCTTACTGGGACTACCTGAGGGAAGCTCACACATTCATGATACCACTGCTCCTCAAAATAGAGATGGTGTGTTCAGTTTTTTTTTTTTTTCACCACACATCTACATCCAGCCCAAGAAAGTTTAATTTAAGTTTTGTGTTACTAGAGCAACTTCATCCACACAATTTGTGAACTGCAAATGTAACATCTCAGGGATTCCTTTCAACAATGACTTTCTTCTTGCTACTCTTCAAAACTGCCCAGACTTATAAAGTGCCTGACTAATAGCCGTCTTGTCGACAGATTGCCACACTTGAACTGTGAATCTGCACAGCTCCTTCAGAGTTACATTGGCCTCCTGGCTGCTTCTCTGATTTATGCTGTCCTTATTCAGCAGTCAGTTAAGTTTTGCAGCCACGTCTTGGTGGGTGTGCAGTTGTACCATACTGCTTCTGTTTTCAGATGTTGGCGGAAAAGAGCTTCTTCTTCACTAATTAGGTGAAAGCATTCCGTTTCATGGGATTTCTGCATGTGTCTACCGGAATAAAAGCAGTTTTGTGCCACACCGTTCAGAATTTTGCATCCCTTTTTCTTAGTTGTGTTGTATCTTGAGAGGGAAATGGCTGGGGCATAACGACTGCACTATGACCATGAAATTTAACTTTGTAAAAACTTGTTACTCTTAGTTACAATATCTTCACCAGCTTGGATGAAGATAAATACTGCAATAGCTCGAAAAAGGTCAAATATCCACTCTGTGGGCTGCACTGCCAACCGGCAAATCAGACACTAAGTATGTCAATGACATCTGATGAATCCTACACTAACACCGTCCTGAAGAGCTTTAAATTTGACTTATGTGTTCATTTCTTTTGGGCAAACTTTTCATTTGGACAAATCAGTTTACAATAAATGTATTTTTTTAACCACATACTTTTTTACCAAGTACTTGTATACATTTACCAAGTGTACAAGGACTTTTCTTGTGCAAAAATTCTTGTAGACTTGAAATGAGACAAAACTAATTTAAAAGTAGCATCCCAGAAAGACATATTAGTTTTATATATTATTTTTAAATGATTTCATCTATATTATTATATTTATGTATACATTATTTTATACTATATTTTCATATTAGTTTCATATATTCTTGAATATAGATATAAAAAAATGCAGATCTTTTCACTTACAATGGGAAAAATGTCTTGTTACAAACAAAAAAAAACATCTGTCAATGAAACTGGTGCTTTATAATAAAAAAAAAACTACATTCAATAATTACTAAGTTAAAATAAACTGCTAAACATGTGTCAAACTCAAGGCCCGTGGCCCGCCATGTTATTTTTTGTGGCCCGCCCCAGCATTTTATAGGCCAATGATTGACTTAAAATAGGTTCTGAGCACGAATTGACTACACACTACATCTCCCACAATGCATTCCGATTGTTACCAGCCAACATTACGGCTTCTCGCCACTAGAGAGCAGCAGAGTCACCTCAAGCTGCTTATTTATTTTCCCAGCGAATAAAACTGAGACATCGACAAGCTAACATCAAAACGTCCAAGAAAAGAAAAATCGATTTACAAGTAAGACTGTGAATGAAGACGTGTGTGAGTTGGTGTCAGGGCGGCAGGTCGTGCTAGACCTTTTTTGTT